GAGGAGAGGATACATACCAACAGAGAGAAGGATGAACGGATAAAGGAATGAAAAGGGGAGAAGGGGAATAACAGGCATACATGAGGTAAGCTCTGGAGAGGAACTCTCCCATTTTTAGCTCGAGAAACATTGGCTCATGAATGAGGAAGAAAGAGAAGTAAAGAGAGACACTGTGGAATAGAAGAGCACTACAACACAGCTCCAGAGGATGTTGAGGTTATTTTCTGCCCATCATCACTACCCAGAGACACGATGTGAAGTTGAACATTGATGAGTCTTAACAGTGTTTGCAGAGCACGCAGGAGTGTCTGTATATGTGGGTGGCTCTGTGTGTGTGCTGCACTCAAAGCCTTTGCCTGCTTCATTCGTTTCAAGGCCATGCAGTGGAATAAGAGGACTAGTACATTGACACACAGTGCCTTATCGCACATGGATTTACTTTCTATATTTGAGAGCCATTGAAATATTAAAGAGGTGTTGGGATAAGAATTGTATATCTCACGTTATAAACAAACATTTATTGTAATTATCTGCAACATAACTGACGATTGGCTGTCAGTGGGAACTTACCCAAATCTAGATCTCACTTTTGATATTGCAGACTCACTCGTAATTATGACATGCATCATGCCGACCCAACTCTGTGGTTTTCTTGTCAATTTGTGTCCATTCAGAAGAGCCACACCCTGAAACATTGTGAGCACCGACCTCCGACTCCAGTTGTGATATATCACCACCTTATGCACATCAGTGTCAGCCACAGACAACTGCTCCTGAGCCCCACCACAGCAAAGACATTCATCATAATGACACCACACACACATTCTGCGACATGACCACATTCAAAGAAAGACACAGAAACAGTGACAGACACACTGTTACAGTCAGTGACGCGTGACGACCACCTCATCACAAATCACACATAGAAATATCAGCAACAACACATTACGAGAGAGACTATGGCCACTCAATGTGTTACCATCATTTTAAGATGTTTTGCACATTGATACTCAAAATGTTCCTCTGGGGAGAGATAAACCTACCAACACCAAATCTGCCTTTTCCGCTCCTTCATTTTCTCCTAATCTCCACATCAGACAAATCCCAGCAGCCGTCTGTCCAGGGAGTCCTCGGCTGTCAAACTATCACATCCCTTCACACCTCTGCTCCTCCCAGCCTGCACACGTCAATTCTCACCCTGCTGTCCTCTGTTCTCCTTCATTTGACATTTCCAGGATTAGTCACACATATTTGCATCATCATTTCCAATACCACCAAAAACGATCACCACCTCGCCGAGCTTTGAGATGCGTTAGTAAGGCCTCTGTGAATTCTTTGAACTACTTTATAATTCTGCCTATAGTAGAGAGTACTTTGATTAGGTAAAGTATTCTACAGGGCAATAACATCCAGGGAAATGTTTCACGGGCGTATTACCTGCATGCAACCTGTGCTTTTAGACGGAAAGTGGCACAGATTATGGTTCGTTGCTGGGGACTAAATTTCAGTCCATTTGAGAATGAAATGAAATGTGTTCATGGATCTGCATGAAAGACAAGATAGCAGACACACACACAAACACACACACAAACACACCTACACACACTGACCGGCATGTTTTGGACTTTGGACCTCAGTTATATCTGTAATACTGCAAAATATTATTATCTCAAGAACTGAATGTGTTTGTTCTGATCCACCCTTTAATGTTCACTCCTGAAAGAAGGCTATGTATCTTTTTTATCTTTTTTATTTTCTATGACGTAGCACTAATAACACAAATACTTTTGATGTTTTTTTGTTTTTCTTGAACCCTATTTTTTTTATTATAGCCCTTTCCCAAATGGTTGACATGCAGTTTGATGGTAAAAGTGCCAAAAACCAAGAGGAATATTTCAAATTAGGGGTGGGAACCTCAGGCATTTCAAGTGATGACGTCTCTCTTCTTATGCACATCGATACATACCATATAAAAAGTATTGTCTCCTTCCGTTCAATCTGGAGGAACTCGAAAATAAACCGGAGTACAGGTGTGAGAGACTGCTGCCTCTGTCTTTCCGGACAACACACACACACACTAACACTCTAATACGCTCATCAATACGAGCTGAAGAATCCTGAACACTAACTCCAAGACACGGAACTGTTTTCTCAATGGCCTCAATTTAGATCCAAATATCTTCTGCTGGCAAAACAAAGCATTTCATTGTGCCTCTAATGCAGATACTACATGGTCCCTGACATCTTCCAGCTGCTCTCTTGTACATTCAGGCAATAATATAACACATGGGAAGCACACGTTGTTGGCGTTCAGCTGTTGTGCTCTAGGCTCTTGGGCCTGGACTTAGTATTGATTGCTGTTTGGAAAAAAAAAAAAAGAAGTAAGAGGAAGAGTGGGGATTGGGTCCATATAAGACTCTTCATAGATGTGTGCCTTATATGCCTTTAGGGAATAGCATGTAAGTGGCTGTGTAAACTACAAACTGGCAACGGATGCAGTGTTCTTGTCAAAGTTAGCGGCTCGGTCTTCCAATTTGCTTCTTGTGGTGCATTTGGACGATTAAGAATATCTCGACCGTCTGGACTACGGAATTGATCGCCTCTAAAGCATGTCTTTTCTGTGACTGAATGTGTGAGTCCCAAGAGTAGAGTGGAGAGAGGTCACATTTTTTCTCAGAGAAACGGGAGTAGGAGTGGAAAGAAAAAGGGCATTGGTCCTGCTGCTTCATTCACAACCTCTCACATTGTTCCTTTTCATGGCTGACACGACTCGGAGAAATGACAGCTAGTTTCACCGAGTTCATGCTAATTCATGATATGACACTTTGAGCAAGTCACATAACTAGCACAGTAAATTAATACTTAGTTGACTCGCTTCATCTTGGAAGAATATTATTAAATTCAGTGCAATGTTTTCTTGTATAGCACTAAATCACAACAGTAGTTATCTCGGAGGACTTTACGAGACTGTTGAATTTGCCAACACAGATTAGAGAATTTATATTTCAACACAAGAAATGCAACGCTAAAAACACATAGACTGCTTAGACTGCTGCCCCCGCGACCCGGCAAAGGATGAAGCAGAAGACATGGAAAAACACATAGCCATTGGTCCATATGGAGCAGATGACCAATGTCCATAAATTATGATAAATGTCAATAAATGATGAATAATTTCCATAAATGTCAAATATTACGGTTAAATCACAGCAATATTGATCATAGAAGTGTGAAAAAGCATGTAGCAGCAATGGTTTATTCATCGTGAACTCCTAGTATCAATATGATTACAGTAATACCATATATTTTTTCATATAGCAGTACTAATATAGAGGTATGTTCACGTCTCTGCAACCCTCTCTACTTCACTGTCCGCCTCCTTACCGCCCACTTGGGTATAAAAAAAGAGGTCATCGTGGCATGTACGCACGTGTATGGTGATTTCACAGTTCAGATGTTATGTGAAATGACGGCTGGAGTAAATGAGGACTCCACAGGTTACACCGGAAATCTAGAGGAAACAATCTGAATTTTGGCTTTAGACTTCAGATTAGATATTACTTCTACACAGTGGTGGTAAAAACTCATATAAAGAAATAAAGCAAAGTCTTGTCAGGAAGACTGGAGACATGTTAACTCATGACTCATGAGACCAGTGCTGTGCTTGTGCTTGTCATATGATACAACTTGGACATGTGACCGAGCAGAAACTTCACAGTATGGAGCATCTGTATTGGACATTATATTCCTTCTTTTTGTCTAGATACATGGGACAACACGTGTATGATGATGCAATTCTCTCATGCCAGGATTCATGAAAGAATACCGGGCTAAATAATGCAAATGGCCTGTATTAGGGAATGCAATAATAGCCAGTCTATCTGTGCAAAACATAGACAAGTTTCTTTCAATAGGAGTTTGTTGTAAGAACTAGATAACAGGCTTTATAGCTCACTAATTTTTACATGAGCACATAGCAGACAACAACACACAACAAAGCCTGGGCAACAGAACGAGAACTAGGGCGCGAATAGCCTACATTTTCATATTTAACAAGACACAACACGAGACATCAGCCACATGGTTCTGTGAGCAGAGGGGACAGAAGTGGGACATGCTCTGTGGAGGAGAGGGAGGAACACATGACCCTGAAACCCTCTCTTTGTCTCAGTTGGAAAATATCCCGTGTTTAAATGAATTAGCTCAAATCCAATTGGAACATGCAACTCCTCCATGCATTCCTGAGCACTTTCACAGAATCCCTTGTGTCAAACGAGTGTCCAAAGTGTGGAGATTAGCACGCGATGAGGGCTGCAAATGCCTCTGAAGGAGTTTTAAAGCCCACTCATGTGAGTCCGGATCGCTCCAGTCTCCCACCCTGCGCGTATTGACCCATGCAAGGGGTGACGTTAAGAGTTTACAGGGTCTCTCCATCTCACACTGTGGACTTCCTACAAAAAAAAAAAAAAAAAAACAGGGAAGCGAGGAAAGGGCGGCTGCTGCAAAGTGCAAAGCCAAGGCAACTTCCAATCCTCTCTAGTGTGCGTAAAAGGCGATGCCAGGATTACACTAAACGCTATACTTGACTTGACGAGGTGGTCCGCGTTTTACAGCCACTGGACAGAGCATGCAGCATGATGAAGACAGGGTTTATATGCACGCAACTATAGCATTAATTCTCCGTAATGGCGCTCATTCATCACCATCCTGTCTGCAGCTTGTAACAGCCCTGGGCACTCCTGCAATTTCCAAACCGCTTATCAACGCATTTAAGGGAAAAAAAGAAGAAAAAAAGCAAGCAAACTAAAAAAAAAGCCGCTAGTAACATTCAGTCATGGACCACAGCGCTTGTTTTGACCTCGATTCTAATCTCCTGTATGGCTTCTTCTGACGCAAAGGGACATTTCCACATCGGACAGCCGCGTTCCAGGACAGCATGCACTCACACAAACACACACAGAAAGAGAAAAGAGAGAAAAGAGAAAATAAATCCAACTCACATTCTGTCTCCAGGAACAAGCAGGCGGCTCTCCACCATCATATCGGGCAGAAAATCCAGACTGTAAGATGAAGTCATGTTGCCTGCTTGCCTGCCTGCTTGCCTGCCTGCTTGCCTGCCTGCTTGCCTGCCTGCCTGCCCTGTGTGTGTATGTGTGTGTATCTGTGTGTGTGTGTGTATGTGTGTACGCGTGGAGAGAAGTGTGTATAGGAGAAGCAGAGAGAGAGAGAGAGAGAGAGAGAGCGCGCACGCGTTGGTCTCCACCGCTGTCTGGCGAATACACAGGCGCGTCTCTCTCACTCAAGATTGCGCACACGGTCTCGGAGACGGAGAGGGACAGGTGCACGGAGCAGAGGCCTTCCCAAAGGCTGTGTGTGTCTGTGTGTGTGTGTGTGTGTGTGTAGCCAGCCTGCACACACTCTGTCCACATCCAGCAGTTGTCACATTCTCCACTCCCCGTGCGCCCCCATTCGCGTTCTCTTTTCTCTGCGCGCTGGTTGGTGGTGTTACGCCCGGTCCCGTCTGCAAATCCGCTCTGCAACAGCGCGACGCACGAACTGTGGGAGAGAACCAAGCCAAGCCAGGTGGTGTGCGGGAGGCGTGGCCCATAATGCTGCAGCTGATCTTTTAACTGTTGGGTCTCCTCTGCTCTCTGTTGTGTGCATGCAGCTATAAGCGTATGTCTGCGAATAAGTGCTGAATGAGTGATACAATAAGGCGCGCTAATGAGGGCATATGTATACACCCACCGTAATGTAAATCTTATCAGAATCAGAATCAGAATCCTTTTTATTTCCATGTGAGTAACAGGAAGTCACAAACTAGAACATTGCTTTGGCTCTCAGTGCAAATAAGTTAAAGCAGAATAAAAACAAGACGGCATGCATAAATACAAATCTACATAAACGTATTTAGTTTACGAATAAATCCAGGTTCTGTGAATGAGAATATAGTAATAGAATAGTTTTGTTTATCTGTGCAAACAACTGAAGGGTTGTATCTTCACTCTTTTTAATGTGTTCTGATTATTTATGATTTTAATGCCTGGTGTTGGGATTGTTTTTCTATCTTGTTTTGTGAAGCCTTGTGTATAAACTGTTCTATACAAATATACTTGTCTTGAGAAGTCTCCTCATAGGTATTTACATATGAAGAGTTCAAATGCAAAAACAGATATCTCCAGTTTGAAATGTTGTCCAAATATTGTATTCCTCTTGTTACAATCTTCAAAATGTTCTGTTAATGGCAGTACACGTGAAAGAATTCGCTGAAGAAGTGGTGAAACTTTATTCGTATGGCAGAAGAATAGATCTGGCTTGTCACAAAACGACTTGGTAAAGAGGACAAAGTAAACTTTTCTGATATGTTTCCATGGCACTTACCTGCTCTTGTATATAAACTATTCATTTAAAGTCAAAGTTAGACATTATGACCTATGAACAGATACTACTTGTTTTATCTTACAGAGACGTGTTGGCCTTGAAATACTCTCCTCACCAACAACATTTTTAGACTGTCATGTGAGTTACAGCCAAAGGTCTGGACAAATTTGGAGCAGTGCATTTCACACGGGGGTAACTGAGTAATAATGAAGCTGCTCATGATTATATGCAGAATTGCTGAGTCGGGATAGAGTTAATTGTGTGGACCCATAAGAATCCCTGTGGAGCCGGAGTGGGCTTGAATGCAACACAGTGTTGCCTCTGTTGCCCCACTTCCTCCTCCTCTGAAGACGAAGAAGAGGCAGGGCTCTCCAGTAAAATAATGAGCCTCTCTTAGACAGAGAGATAGCTCTCTGGGGGGAGACGAGGAGTATGTGGGTCAATGGGGAAAAATGTGCTCAGTATGCACACGTAGAACAGGATAAGTGTATGCCGTGGGTGGGACTTGACCAGCCTCATGTTTACTTGCACAGGCTGAGGTCAGTGCGGATGCCAAAGGCTGATCCAACATCAAAGCCTCGGGGTGAGCACCGTCTCAGGAGTGGGAATAGCCAGCCATGTTCCACAGTGCACTTGAACCCTCACAGAAGAATGGAGGTGAGGGCAGGTGGTGAGGGTGGTGGGTGTGGTGAGGGTGGATGGAAATGAGGCAGGAGTGACCACTTCAAGGGAACGAGGCACCTTTATAATTAGCTTAATTCTGTCATTAATAAAACAGAATGTGTTTGTAAACTGTGAGAGTTGCACAACAATTGCGTTTGAGAAGCTTGTACTAAACTTTACTTATTCAGTTACTATAATTTGCTTTCATTGTGTTCATTATTTTGTGCTTGGAATAGATGCCCTTTTGACATCTCTTTGAGTTTGGGTCCATGCAGTGCAAATGTCTGTCACGTTGTGGGAAGAATGTAGAACAGATGATGAAATATACCATCAAAGTTATTCGAAAAGGACTAGGTTCAGATTGTTGTTGATTGTTTTAAACAAAAAAATCCTTTTGGGTCAAGTGTGCAGCGTATGAAGACTATGGTCCTAACATTCATGTTTGTGCGCAGTGCTCAAGAGAATGAGCTGTTCTATAACTTGTGATGCAACACTGAAATTTCAAAACAAAACAACAAAATAATCTCTTAATCTTAGTTTGAATGTGTTTCATTGTTTATATTTTATGAATGGGAGAATTTGTATTAATGAACAGCTGCTGTAAAGATACCGGAATAAGCTCAAGGCTAGTTTTCCGTCGTAGTCTCATTGTACGCCTCATTCTTTAGTGCTGAGACGCCATAATCACTGTTATACAATGTCGTCCAATTATGTTGAAAATGTTATTAGTAATTAGTGGGTTTCAGTTCCCCGTCTCATCCATAGACCGCAAGGTGTACTGTGGACCTAACGAGTTCTGAGGTCACTCATAGTGTTTTCTTTATCAAAGTGGATTAGAGCTAACTCAAACAGGCTCCATGAACGGGAATCTGAAGTCAAACTCAGGGATGGCAACAACCTAGCAACCAAAGAGCCAATCAGGAGCTCTTGCTGCTTGAACTACCTGCTAGCTTAAGCCACATTTAGGAACAGCTGGTCAGTTGTTGGGGATATTTTACAGAGTAAAAGGAGTTTACTTTTCAATGTGAGTGAATGGAAGCCAAAGCCAAAGTTCGAAAATATAGTGTATAACATTTTAGTTTTATTTATCAATCACAACCCACAATTCCGAACATTCTGAAACTCAAGAAGAACAGAGCGGATACAGATGAGTATTGATTAAGATATTCAGGGTTAGCAGTACTCAATAACTTCCAATTTCAAGAATGCATGTATAAGCACATTGCCTTGCTGATGTGCTTATTAGTATTAGTAGTATTTCAAATACAAGTCCAAACAAATATTTTAAATACAGCAATGTATGACAACAAATATGACTTGATTTAAGTATCATGAGTATCGCCCCCTCCCACAAAACAGGCACGTTTTCATCAAGGGCCCCCTTTTTCTGTCAGATACAGCTTGTGGCAAGGTCTGACTCTGCCCTCGCTTGCACTCCCACTTTTGTATCTCTTCCCCCTCCATCTACTTTATTTCTATCTTCTTCGCACGTCTGTGTCTCACTTTCTTTTACCTCAGGCTGGGGCTCAGCTGCCTCAATAAAATAAATCGATCACTTAAAAGAGGAAGGGGGTTGTTCAAGTCGAACGAGGCACTGACACAAATAGCATGGCCTCATAAACCAACCAAAATATGTCATGGGATTGATCCATACTATTGTTCTGTTGTTGCCTGTGCATTATTCACATGAGGAAAGGATTGTGGGCAGCTGATTGAGCCGAGTTTTCACAAGTGAATATTTAATGATAACTTCATGAATAATTCAGAAAAGCAAGCAGTTTATTTGAGTGTAAGTGGACATGAGAGGAGCCTAGACTGAGACTCTATCCCTTTTACAAACATGCACTTCTACCCAGAGTTGTTGCGGCTAAATTCTGGAGCGCTGGCCGTTTGTACAATCACACCCTTTTTCCGATCCAGAGATGATGCTTCCAGGCTCCTAGTAACTCTGGCTAATATCTGTTTGTACTAGAATACACAGTACTTTATGAAGCTTAAGCGCAAATTCAGAATAGAAGACTAAAGAGACGTCATGCTGCCAAACTGGACTGCTCCCTCTACACTCCTGCACTGAGCTCAACAGAAATCGGCCTCAGCTGCTCAGCAACACACTTGTGCTCATCAGCTCAAGCAGCTGTTCGAGCTGCAACCCACCTCCTCCCCATCACCGCCTCTTCAGTGGAGTAGCATGTCACGTCTTCGGCTCAGCTTCTTCGCTACCAAGTTCTAGGCCCTGGGGGCGTCTCAAGCTCTAGTTTATATGAAACCCGAGTATCTCCGCCGGGGTCTAATCGCCAATCCTAATGCAATAAAAATATTAGTACAAAATCTAAGTCTGCTAGTGTTTAATCATGCATCTCGACAATAAATATTCTAATGCAATCTTCGTCTCAAGTCGTTCCAGCTTGAAATACTTGCTTCTTATTATGCCAAAGGTAGCGATTTTATACTTCTTTATTATGCTAAACTTAGAATTTTTGTACTCATTATGAGAGATTTTATACATGTTTCTTCCTCATGCTAGAGTTAGAATTTGTTTTATTCTTTTTAATTTAGTATAGAGTTATTTTTAATTTATCTTGTGCTGTGTGCTTCTCATTCCTGCTGTTCTGTAACTGGTGATGCAACACTGACATTTCCCCACTGTGCGACGAATAAAGGATCTCTTAATCTTAATTTTAAAGAGATCTTCCTTCTAGAGCTGGCTCTGGAACAGTTCACTGCGCACCTCCATGTGTATTCACATTAGGGCGCATTAAAGCCTTCTGGTGATTAAAAAAAAAAAATCAGCGTTTATGTGAGAAGAAGACACCTATTCCTCTGTTTGGTTTGAGTTGACTTTCGCTGCTGTGATATGTCCTCGCCACCGCTGCGTGTCAGAGGAACTCATCACCAACTGAGATTTCACGTCCTTACAGACCACACCTACATAACAAGCAAAGGCACTCTCTTTGTTCATCAATTTAGTTTATCAAAGTAACTTATTTTCACATTTCA